CATCCCTAATAGAATTGATTATTTCCTAATATATCCACTTATTAGCCAGACGCTTTAGTTCAAATACGTGAAAAATGTAATAATTCATTAGCCTATTACAATAAATTACTACGAGCCTCGATCCGTTTTATTCATGCTTTTTGGTGGTCGCAATTCTTCCATTTCTTCCTTAATAGACCTATTACACTTGTGGTCGCTAAGTGCTGGGACTCGAATCCAAAAGGCGGTTACTTTACTATCCCTCGACAGGAGCCTGTTCGCCCCATCGACCCAAGGGCTTGGGTTTTGCACACCAACGCTATGACTTCGACCCCAGTTTCAGTCGGTGCCGGCGCTGGAAATGGCGACACGTCTGTAATTGGTCAGTCTAGTGGTGGTCAACAGGTCTGTCCTGAGACTGGTCATTCTTCTTCCTCCACCTCCACTTCAGCTGCATCCTCATCTGTCTCGGCTCAGGCAATTGCCACTCCAGGCTCTGTCAATAATGCCGGCATGAACGGTCTTTGCCAAGAAAGCTTGCTCTTGTCGGCTTCAGGGCCCACAGTCAATACTGCTTCTGGTATGGCTGTTGGTCCAGGCTCTAGTTCAGGCGGTGACTCAGCCAGCACTCTAGGCGCTGGCACGCAAGGCGCTAGTTCCTCTCTTACCGGTGCTCCACCTCACGGCATGGCGGGGACAACTGGTGGAAGCGGTAGTTTGCTGCCCGGACTCAGTATTGGAACGCTCACTTCCTCTGGACAGACTATGCCAGCTGGGACCAGCGCCGCTGCCTTTAATATGGCGGCTGCCATGCTGGCTGCGCAGCAGCATCAGCAGTTCCATCCGCATCATTCCCACCACCTTCACCAACAATCGAGTTCTGGAATTCAATTAGGACAAATAGATGCGCATTTTCATCAGCACCAACATCACCATCCTATGGTATGCAACGGTCTTCCATCGGGCCACCCAGGGCAGGCGATGTGCCTTCCGTCGACAAATTTTTACCATTCTACATCATCTTCAATGGTGCCCCCCTACAGTCACCAGGTAGTCTACTACATTTTTTCCTAAACTATCTGCAATTTAATCGAAGGTATGATGACCAAGATGGTATGGCCTTTTGTATTGTCACAGTCTCCTTTCCTTGTATAGAAGTTGTTTGACCTTGTTTTGGCAACTTGGTCATATTGGTAGTAAGACCTAGACGAAA